ACAACTCTTGTTTTGGCCACATTGTTGATCCAGCAAGACTCGGTTCTCGCAGCTCGTGCCGTTGGCATCAGCTCATCCCTGGCAGATTCCCCTAAGGAGGGACCTTCTCCCAGGGGAAGGGCACAATCTGGCACCTGCGCCCAGTTCTCTAGAGGCTCCATGTTGGTCGCTGGATGCGACCAGGGGGAATTCAGAGGTTTTTGACCCGTGGTGGTGAATATCATTACACAGGAGAGGGCCCCCTCTGCGAGGCAGCTATACAATCTGTAATGGTGCATTTTCGTGAATTGGTGTTCTTCCCAGGGGAAAAATCCTCGGAGATGTAGAATCGGATCTGTGCTATCCTTCCTCCAAGAGTGCCTGGACAGGCACCTGTCTGCCTCCACACCTAAGGTCTACGTGGTCGCTATGGCGGCAGACCGGTAGTTGGTAGATCGATGGGGAAGCACGATCTGGTTATCAGATTCCTAAGAGGCATCCGGAGGTTGAATCCTCCAAGGCTGCACCTCATCCCATCTTGGGATTTCTCTGTAGTCTTTCAGGCCTTACAGAGAGATTCAGTTGAGCCCCTTCAGTCAGTTGAACTTAGTGCCCTCTTTATGAAGACGGCCTTCCTGACTGTGCTCACTTCTATCACGAGGTTGGGGATCTCCAATCCCTCTCCATTAACGAATCATTCCTAGAATTCGTACCGGCAAACTCTCACGTTGTTCTGAGACCCCGGCCTGGATATGTGCCCAAGGTTCCCACCACTCCTTCAGAGATAAGGTGGTAACCTTGCAAGCTATCCTCCCGCAGAAGGGGGACCCTGACCTGTCTCTGCTGTGCCCAGGGCGAGCCCTACACATCTATTTATACACACACAGACTTTCAGAATGCCTGAACAGCTCTTTGACTGCTTCGGCGGTCAGCAGAAGGGGAATGCTGTCTCCAAACAAAGGATCTCCCACTGGATTGTGGATGCGATCCTCGCGGCCCATCAGGCCAGAGGCTTACCATGCCCACTGAGAGTGAGAGAACACTCAATCAGGGGCATTGCTGCTTTGTCAGCTTAGCAGTTGGTGCCTCATTAGTGGACAATTGTAAATCTGCAGTTTGGGCTACGCCTATACATTTGCCAGATTTTAAAATCTGCTAATAGAACCAGTTTCATCCGGAGTTTTTGAGAACTAGCCCTTGGACTCAGGTGGCTGGAAGGGTGTAGAGCTTGCATTTAATGTCTTCCCCTCTCTGAGGAGATAATGTGCACTAACTGAGTCCTGTTCAGTTCCTTCTGATGAACCCTGGACTACCCTTCCATCACTCAAGCACTCCAGAGTGTCTGAGCGGAGTGGCAACTGTTTCCCCTCTGTGCTCCAAGCATTCAATAATCACTCCAGCTCCACTCCTGGTTCACCATTTCCCGCTCCCGCTCCACTCCTCGCTCACTGATATCAGAAACACCGCTCCACCTTCGCTTCCTGAGGAAATTTTGTTTGTGAAGGATGAAAATAACTATGTTTTTGTCAGTTATTTCATCTACAGATCGCTGATTTCTGCTCATTCGAAATCGGATAACTGTTACAGATGAAGTAGCACTATAAGATTACATTTGTTTGAATGCATTATTGAGAGAGTGATTGCGTGTGAATAAGTGTTGTACCTGTTTAAATCATGATTTCACTTGAGAATATTCAGTATCTTGAAGGAACAAACAAATTCCTTGAGAGTTATAACTTGTCCGTTGCCATCATAATAACCTTCACATTCTTTCTGATTTGAGTGATCCATCTGTATCAAGCTTGCTAAATATGTTGAACCTGAATTCTTGCTAAATATGTAGTTGTCATGATGGAGCGGTGGTGGAGTGCTCTCGGAGCAAGTGAAAACCATGACACTCCGACTTTTAAAGGGGTCATATGAAGCAATTTCAAGTTTTCCTTTCTCTTTGGAGTGTTACAAGCTGTTCGTGCATAGATAAGATCCCTAAAGTTGCAAAGACTAAAGTCTCAAACCCAAAGAGATATTTGATAAAAGTTAAAACTTGTCCACGCCCTCCTAAAACGGCTCGTTCTAACACGCCCCCACAGGTCTACGTCACTCTGTGGGAAGATTTGCATAATACCGCCCAAATGTTCACGCAAAGATTTGACGTCACCTTTATTTGACCATCTAACTCTAACACTTTCTATTCTATTTTAATTCAACATTATCTATATCTTCTTTTTTTATGTTTTTATTTAAAAAAAATAGCTTTCTATTTTTCCTATTCTATCTGTCAAAGTTTCTAAACGGACCAAATTTGTTAATACAAGTCACACGCGAGTAAACTGTTGTCTCATTGGTCAAAGTTTAAAACAACAGGCCAGGTGTGAAAGCACCCTAAGTCATTATAATCAGTAATTATGTCCCCACTGGATGCAACAAATGCCTCGTTT